TCTCCTTGAGTACCCTTGTGTGTAAACTGTCAGGGCCGGCTGACTTGAAGGTATCTAGCCTGTTCAGGTGTTCCTTCACGAGGTCAGCTTTGATGGAGGGTAAGGAGTCTTCCTCCCCTGGGCCTCCCTGACCCACAGTGGGTAGGGGGGGGTCCCATGAGACTGGTGAAAAACTGATGCAAAGTACCCATTATGCGAATTTGCTTTTTCATGGGCATCAGTTGTCCCATCTGGTTTAGCAGGGGTCCAATGTTGCCCTTGCTTTTTCTCTGGCTCCCCACATATCTAAAATAGGACTTTTTATTGTCTTTGATATTTGTAGCTAGCTGGAGTTCCATCACAGCCTTGGCTTTCCTGGTTTGCTCTCTGCAGGTCTGCTGTCCCAGACCCCTTCCTTGTTTAAGTTAAACCAGCATCTCCCAGCATCCCACATGCTTTGCAGCCCTGGGTTGTGCTGTCTGCTCCAGAGAACAGAGCTGGCCTTACCCTTCTCTTCCCTAGTCAAAGTTCTAAAGGAGACTGCAGGTAAAGCAGGGTCTGCTTGGATCCCCTTGACTTCTCCTCCCCTTCCTTACGCTGCTTGCTTGCTAGGGGGTGGCCATGCTCCCCCTCAGCTCAGCACTCTGAAAGGGAAGGGAGGGCTGGTCTAGCACCCCCTGGCATATAGCCTGAGTTACTGCAGGCATGTGCCTGCATTTCTTCAGTCCAGAGGCAATATATTTACAGTTGCAAACTGGTTCAACCTAGGCAGGTTAGACTAACCTGCAAAGATTGAATCAATTCAGGCTCAGGCTTTTTGAATGCTTGTCCTTAGCCCAGTGGTCCCTTCCAGTCTTACTTTTTTGTGATTCCATGATTCTATGAAATACTTGTATGCTAGCCTCCAATCAAAGTGTTTGTCTTTTAGCTATCATTTGCAGATTACTTAGTTGAATTTTATAAAATTAAAGTTATCTAATGTTGCATCTATTTTATCTTTATTAGTTGATTCTTGATTGCCTTCAAAAAGGCTGTCATCTACATTGCTTTTATTTTTTTTGGCAAGTGTTAGTTAATCAAGCTTCAGAGTTTGGTCAGTACAGTAGGTCTATTTTACAGATATTAATTGAGTCACTGAAAGATTATGAGACTTTACCTAAGGTCATATGGTAAATTGTTGGAGGGGGAAACAAATGTTGGCCATTGATTCCCTTTTTTTCTGATTAATAGCCTCATTCTTCAACTGTTATTTTACCATTTTTATATGTTATTGAAGGTTGCACAGTCATATCCTGAATTTCTAGATAATATTTAACAATTGTGATAAACACATTGTGGTTGTTAAGTGTCCCTGGAAAGGGGTTTTACTAGATCAGATTTTTGTTAATTTACCTGTAGTGATGTATGGAGATTCATGTCATCCTTTATTGTGGATTCATTTTTTGTAAATATTTGATTAATATATTTTAATTATTTTGTAAAATAAATTAAACAGATAAAGTTATATGGCATAGTAATGTTTTCAGTCTGATGTCATTTTTGGTAATCAGCCCTGCACCTCAGAAAGGAAAAGTCAAAAGTAGTATGGCAGTTAAGTGGGCCATGAAAAGATTAATTTGGAGAGTGCTTATCCTAATTGGTTTTGGCCTAAAAATCCTTATTTCTAATAATTTCATCTGATATTATTCTTGTTTCTTTTTTTCTTTCTTTGCAAGTGCTTTGAGAAAGCAGTGCTATCTATCTAAGTTTCTTTTTTATAAGCCAGTGTTGCTCACAGCTGTGAGAAGGGGACTAATCTGATTCTGAATCAAGGTATGTGATGGATAAAAAAGAAATTCAGCTGTTATTCCATGCTAAAAAAATAGTGAATAATTTTCCAGTTAGAGGAATTAATGTATTCAAAATTACTACAACCATAAGAAAATTACCAGTTTGTTATGATGTTCACATCCCAGTAAAGGAAGAGTTTGTATTTGACTGTTGATGCACTTATATGCTCAGAATTATGTACAATGATTAGGGATCTCCAGATTTGCTCTGGAAACGCATGGCATGGTGGCTTCTTTAATTATGGAGTTTCCTCTGTGCACTCCCTGGTGCTAATTGATGGAGGGGCTCTGTTGCTTGCTGCCCATGTCTGATGCTTGGGAGGCAAAAACCATGGTTTTAAATACGCTGTAGTTTTTGTCTCCTGGCCATCAGGTGCAGGTGGTGAGCAGCAAGTGACGGGGCGTCTCCACCTCTCAGTGGCAGAGGGGCACCTGGGGGAAACTCCAGAATTAAAGAAGCCGCCCAACTGCGCACCTCCAGATTGATTTCTGGAGAGCCTTAACAATCATCCACCAATAATGGTGGATGCCAGTGAGGGTAGTGAATAAGGGATAAATTAGTCTAGATATTTCTAGTTCAGTGCTCTCGCTCTAAATCACGCTCCCCTGCCATTGTTGGAAGCAGGATACTAGGCTAAATGGATCGTTGATCTGAGCAAGTATAGCACTTCTTATATTCTACATATCCAAAAACATGTATATACTTCAGAGCAATGGGTGGGTTGAATTTAGGGAAAGCTCTGTCGTATTCTAATCTCAAGAGTAACTTGGATCACATTGATATTGCATCAGAACAATGTTTTATAGTCTCTGCCAATTTAAAAATCAAATTGCTGTTAGACCTTATAGAACAACACATTTGACTGACAGGAATGGCTGTTATAGATGGATGTGATGTTCTCTCTCTGTATAACAAGGTTTTTGACTGACAGTTTAACAATGGTACAATTTCTATCCCATATATTCTAAATGATTATTATTGCAGTACAAAACATTTTGCACTAGCTGTGTATAGATAACATGTATACTTTTTGTGTAGTAACATTCAAGAAGATGGGTTTTTGAAATCTTAGAGATGGTAACAATTAATGAACGCTCTATCTCTCACTTATAACCAATGTCAAGCATTGCTATTGTGGTACATGGTGATGTGGAAAACATTCAGTACTTATCTCCCAATGGAGGATCAGCACAACTCCTTGACACATGCTACACACAGGATGAAATAAATCTCTTTTAAGAAATATTTCTATCACTCTCCAACCAAAGGGTACTTTTGCCTCCTTGTAATCCCTTTCTCAATGATGCATTTCTCTGTATCACTTTAAATTCAATTTTAATTTGATAAGTGACTAAGTAAAAGTGGTTCCCCTTTTATATAACAGAAGTGCTCCCTATATTGCATCCCAAGGTGTAAGGTTTTTCATTTGAAGCATAGCTGGAGAAGTGGAAAATAATCTTTTGTTCTTTTTCATTTCTTATTCCTTTCCCTAATAGGCATCTCTTCCCTAGATTATTCACTATGGCCTCTGGCAGATGTTCAGGTAAAGGCCTGATGAGATCTGATGCGCATTCCCAACAATTGCTCTTCCTGTCATGCTACTTGTGCACAGCAGGAAGCATGACTGTGGGATCAGGGATCAGATCACAGTCACTCCCTATTGCCAGCGCAGCAGAAAGTATACATGTACATCAATAAGAACCCTGTCTGTATTTAAGGTTATTAGGCTCTTCTAATTAGAAGATCCCTCCCATGACATGGGCCTATGCCATAAAGACTGCTGCACCACAGAGACAGCCTGTGCACAGATGTGCCATGCGCCCCGTCCCTTCACCTCCCATCATGTCCCCACTGCTGTGCACATGCTGCCGGGGTTCCCATGTCTGCCCCCTCCCAGCCCAGTGTGGAAGCTGGAGAAAGGACGGAGAGCCTAGTGGCAGCAACAGAAAGCAAAGGAGAGCGCTGCCCAGACTAGGAGACCAGGGGCCTCAGCTTAAATCCTCAGTTCAGGCTTAAATGTTTCAGATGAGCAGTTTTTGCTGTTTAATTCCCCTTGATTATGTGCAAAAAAAAAAAAAAAGCTGGTTGTTACATAGTCCTTTAGGTAGGAATCCAGCCAGCTCTTCCCTAAGGTTTTTTGCTCACCTATGGCCTTTATTCTAAATAAAAAGATGTTGCAGAGAACTCTCCTCATCACTGAATGGACTGTAACATCTTGATAGTTCTTACCATTTCTTAGGTCACTTTTTCTGGCATTTTGATTCTTAATGCCATTTTCCTGTTCTGGAGGATTTGCCTGGCCTTAGAAGAGTTCAGTGATTTTTTTTTTTTTTTTTTAATAATAATCTCATCACTGCAAGCTTTCAACATGTCCTCAGTGACTGTCTTCAACTGTAGATTTACCATTTTTCTTGGTGATATGAGCTATTTAATACCGGGGTTTTTATTTCTCTATCATATTCAGTAAAGTCTTGTGGCATCGGCCTACTTAACACTTCTTGACAGTTTCTACCTATTTCTCTCTCTCTACTTTTTCTGTTATTAGTCTCTCTCTTATCTTTGGATGTCTACACTGCAGGGCTGTTGCCAGCACTATGGCTGTTGGGCTTATCCTAGTGATGTTGCAGCACTGTTGGCTGAGAGAGTTTTTCTCTAGTAAGAGCAAAATACCTCAATTCTCTTGAACAACAGAAGCTGTCTTCTGCTGGTGAAGGCAGGTCCATGCTGGCA